CAAGTCGTCACGGCAAAAATGAGTGAAAACAAAATGTATGGGGTTAACAAGCCGTCACGGCTCAGCTGACTCCCATTTCAATTGATAGTGAACTAATTTTATTTATTTTTTATGTTTTAAATTAACCCAAAATCAATAATAAAAAATTATGACTATTTGTTTGTTTATTTATTATTTCTAAATTGTCTAAAATCATCGGACTGCCACAGTCGAAATGATTCAAAGAATAAAGGAATTAACAAGCTGTCACAACTCAGCTAATCCTTTTAACATATATTCCATGTTATTTTATGAAAAACTTAAATGAATCTTGAATCGCCAAGATGTCTCGGCCAAAATGATCCAAAAGAAAATATAGAGAGTTACCAGCCGTCACAGCTAAATCACCCCTATAAAATAAAATTTGTCTTATATTTTTTTTGCCTTAAGTGAAGCCATACTTCAATTCTAAACAACACCATTATTCCAATTTCCAAGCACTTTAAGTTTTTCCAATTAAATAAAAAATTTATGAGTAATAATGTCTTGGATTCCACGATATAAAAGTGCAGACCGTTCTATACTTTTATAATTGTGAAGAATATAAAATTGGTAAGTGGATTAAATATTGAATAGTGTATGCCCATCTTATTCCATAATGGTATAATCGATTAACATGTTGCTAAAAAATTTGTAAGAGACATTCTTACCTTTTTTCACTTTTTAAGAGATTCATATTTGTATCGTTTGGACCCAAAATAACGTGAAGACACAGTATGATAAGCTAATAAACTAACACTAACATGATAAGCTAATAACAAAAAATGGGTCCTACCATTTCCATTTTATATGTTTGTACCCAAAACGTCATACATGCATGAGTGTAAAATTTTTAATGATTTCCGTCCGTGGGCACAAGTGAATAAAAGGCATCTTGGTCTTTGCATATTCAAATTAACCTATTATTTCTCATCTGATATCTTCCACGATGAGTATTAAAACAAACGAAAAGATAAACAATTTATTTTATCAAACAAACTGCATACCTGTGAGTCCGTATAGAGGAAAGACGAAAAAAAATTAATAATATGCTATCCTTGGTGAAAGACCCCTCCGAATAATATACCAAGTGTGGAGACTGTACGATAATAACGACCATATGTTGTGCGAGCTTTGGGTGATTAAACACAGTGGTAGGCGATTTTCTGGTGGCAGTTCATGGCGATGGATGAGGTCCAAGCAGCGGCAAACTGTATCGGATTTTTTGTGGTGATTACTTGCAGTAACTTTCTTTGGTGACAACAATGGTAAGACTTGCAGCAACTGGTGGTGGTGAACAACGTCAAAATTGTGGAGGAGGGAAACATTATCTTGGTGCAGAGGCTTGTGTTTTATGGTAAACTTATGTAAGGATCCAAAGGATAATTCGTCTCCCTTCTCTCTTCGATGGTGCCCCCTCCCTCTTTTTATATATGGACGAAGGCGGTGGAACTTCAACAGAATAATAATTTTTTGTTTTAAACCGCCCTTTCAACCCTTCTGTTGTCACTCTTACATGTTACATGGCCCTATCTCTGCTCTGTAGCGCCTTCTGCTTTGTTTTCTTCAAGGTAACGCAGCTTGACAAATGGGATCAATTGTTATCATGAAGAATGATGGGTGTATGGGGTTTGAGAACAGCCCAACAAAGTTTCCTTTCCAGTAAGAATGGTATCATTATTATTATTAAATGATAAAATATGAACTCTTTTTTTTGTATCAATATCTCTCTCTTTTTACTTAATTTCTTTTTACTCGTTTTTTTATTCTCTATTTTCCTTTATTTCTTTTCCCCTTTTTTTCTTTTTTTCTTATAAAACAAAAAATAAATAATAATGATAATAATATACTCCAAAATAAAAGGTTCACATTTTTTTTTAGGTGTGAGGACAAAATTGAGTGGTTACACAATCCTATAATTAACTTATACAAATACTCCACCACTCAATTACACAATCCCACAACATATCCATTTCACAAAGTCTTGCATACCAACTCAAAATTTGCCTAAGTTATCAATATTTTCACCAATAATTTTTATAAGCTCAATCATCATAAAACATCATTCTAAGACACTTTTATCTAATACACATTTTCAATTTAAAGTCCCTAACTATCTCAATTCATGCAAGCATGCTCTAGGATTCACAATTTAAATCAACCAATTCATCCAATGAAAAGTGTGGAAACTTACCCACATCAAGGCCTAGGAGTCCTCCACACCATACCCAAGCAATAGAGGATCAAACCACTCCAAGAACATCAACTTTCCTCCTCAAATTCGTAGCAATGGGTCAAAGTTTTCTCTCAATCTAGTGGGTTTCAAGGGTTGGGAGTAGCATGGTTGGGTTTGGATGATATTTTACTTCAAAATTTATATAGTGGAACATTAATTTTGATGTAGTTTTGGTGAAATGAAGTTTTCAAAGCAAATTTTGCACATTAACAAAAGGGCTGCGGATTTGGAGAAGAAGGAGGGAGGAAAGTGAAGCATGAATAGTGTCAAGCATATGTGGCTTAAGTCACTTAAGTTGGGTGGGTCCCACCGCCACCTCACGCGATTCAAACTAATTCAAATCTCCCGCTTAAACCACTAAACGTCCATTAATTCCTAGAGTATTTAGAGACCCTAATTTTTAACATTAACCATTGTCCTTTAATTGTCCTTGGTCAGATGGATTCAGGGTTTTTCGGTCATTTGGTGAAATCACAGTTTTAAGTTGTTATGCGCGTTGTGGGCACGCTTCCCTAAAAACTCTAATTTCAATCAATTTTCATCAGAAATCATAATTCCTAGTCCTATGTACCATTTATAACTTATTTCCAAACTTAAAGCTCAAAATTCATTCGGCACGTTTTCCGATACAACTGTACCAAGGTATTTTTACCCGGTAAAAATTCTATTCATCAAATTTCAAGAAACTTACCTAACCACTCAATTTTTCGTTCTGAATCCATTTCCAGGGTTAGTTTTTCCATTTGAGACCTTCTACTCAATTTTCCTTTCCTAGAGTTACGTGTTTGGCAATTTACCATTTTACCCTTTTTATGTATTTTGACCCAGAACTCACGATTTTCACTAATCTTACCTTTTAATCCATATTTTAATATATAACTATATATTTTAGGAATACGAAGTGTTATAAACATAGGAGGAAATTGTAGGATATGTTAATAATATAGTCTGATAGTATGTTCATATACAAGCTCAATAAGTCACAACATGATTATTTGGGTCTATATGAGCTGGAGTCCAATAGCTTACATTATCTCTAGGGTTTCCTAAGCTTGAGGTAACATTGTTGAGTATTCCAAATTTGATGTCTCTTGATGTAATACTTTAAGCACCTCAAAATTCTTCTCTCTCAAACTCATTACTCCCAACATAAGATTCTTATATGAGAATTTCATTATTTGCCATGAACCTATCAACATTCAACAATACTAATAAAAAATCATGCGCATGCTCTATCTGGATATTGTTTACCCTATATCTTAATCCAAACCCTTACTATCTAGAGCAAACAATTCATTTTCTGACTTCTTCAAACCCAAATTCTGACTTCTCCAAACCCAAATTCAAAGTTGCAATACATGTTTGATAATATAAATTTAACATATCTACTTGATTACGACTTTCCATTCTGTCACCCAACAACTTAGAAATTCAGTTCTCTCTCGCTGTTTCCTGTCCACCAAACAGGCAAACATTAGTTAGATACAGATAGGCTTGACCTGCCAATATTACTTAAAGTTCATATCATCATCTAAAATTGACATTTGACATACCGAATCTTATTTTCCTTCTTTTCCAAATTTTCCTCTTGTCGTATTTGCATGGTTAATTCTGTAGAAATACCCTAGTCTTGTTCATTCGCTAGCTCTGTATTCTGATTATATTATATACAAATATGGGGACTTGCATCTCTAATTTTATTTCAAAAGAGACGAAAACATAAATTCTTATATAGGAAAATTATTTTTGTTTTCTTTTTATTTTTATTTTTTGCGTGCATCTAAAATTGGATTCCTTCATGTCGGAATTTCATATTTTATGAGACTAACATTTGAAGATATAGGTACTGGATTTTATGCATTTAGTTTGTGTGTATCTATCTCTTTATTCATATATATTTCATGTAAACATGGCTTTAAAACAAATTATAAAAATTTAAAAGTCCTGCTAAAGAGTTTTTTGAATTTTTTTTTTCTATAATAAGACACTGATATTTCCAGATAGAGAAGACTATTCGAATGTGCAAATTTTGGAGACTTCAATCCTAAATCTCATTTTGCAGATAATTATTGTACAAAATTTAGGATGTCACAAAAAAAATTCTTTTAGGGATTTCTGGAATAAAAACATCTCTTAGTTTGTATCATTTAATGTTTACCATTCATATATATATAATATTAAAAATCAATTATAATAAAAAATAATAACAACCTATAATTCTATGAGTACACAGTTAAATATATCATTCTCTTACTCTTAAATGACCTAGGATTTCTTTTTGTCACGAATTACTATCCTGTCAATAACCTGGACACATGCATTAAATTCTCAACGTTTGGCAGCCATGCATGCAAACATAATATATAAAAGCAAAAAATTTATCCCAAAAGCATCTAAATATTTCTCGTTTAAAATTACAATCATTTAAATAACTATGACACATGGAGTAAGTTCACAACATTTGGCAATGATTTCTTCTCCGTAACTATACCTGTTCAGGTAACCATAAAAAAATTTAGGTACTCTACACAAGCTTGTAGATAATTCCACTCTGTATTTTATTTATAACACTTGCCTACGTGCGTGCTTGATGCTTGCCTACTACTATAATTTAATATAAACGTTATATTATATTAGAGAGGACCAATAATTAAAAAACACTTGGCCAGGCTAAGCTCTTCATATAAAGAGCTCCATCAGGTTGGTTTGGTTTACTTGATTTTGATAGTAGAGAGAAAAGAAAGAAATGGAGGAAGCAGTACTGAAGATGGTGAAAAGCAATGGACAAGTTGTTCATGCTGCGAAATACTGTGTTACAGGTGCCACAGGGTATATTGGTTCATGGCTGGTGGAGGCTCTTCTTCAAAGAGGCTGCACCGTTCATGCCACTGTCAGAGATCCTGGTTAGTATCCTAATAGTCTATAATTATACCCTTTTCTTCTTCCACTCTTTTTTTACTTTTTAGTTATTCAAACTAGTATAAGAGGAAGAACTAGAATCAAATAAATTATTAATTAAAACACAAGTTATGTGATAGCATTTTTCCCTCACTTGTTCTTCCTTAAAATCGTCGAAATTAATAAGTGGCATGGCATGCTACTTAATTTTTTTTTTTTTTTTTTTTTTTTGCCATAAACAAACTTTTGACAAGCATTGTGATAGTTGTGCCTCTATAGGATGATAATTTTCAACATGACATGGTAGAAATTCGTTTTTGGATTTGCCGTTGTGAAATTCATATTATATTTGTGTCAACACGATATTGATAAAAGCAATAATAAGAATATATGTAATTCATGTTGTATCATGTCAACTCATAGATTAAGCTACATATTTTGAGATTAACAAATTATTTGTATTATGTCGTGTCGTGTCATGTTAATATATAAAGTAATCGGATCATGTTCATATAAAGGTTTTGATCCATTTTTAAATTTATGTTATATTCTTGTCAAATGTATTCGAGTTCGTGTCAAATCTTGAACCAACACGAACATGACCCACTAATACAAAATTGCCACACCTACCCATAGATGTAGAAGCCAATTAACATTAATTAACTATTTCAATTTAATGTTAATAAAGAGGGAAAAAAGTTTCCGATATTACTTTAGATAACTTTATCTAATGTTCATCGAAACGATGTCGTTTTGGGGTTGAAAAATTAAAAAATTAGAGTGATAAAGACTATTATAACCCTGAAATAAATTAAAATTACAAAAATACCATGATTTTCGTCCCAAAACGACGTCGTTTTGATGAACATTAGATAAATTTATCTAAAGTAACATCAGAAAAAACAAACCCTAATAAAAATATATGTACTACCAATACATAATTTGTAACTTGCTATTTTCAACACCCAAATATAATTTCTTTCTTGATGAAATTTTTGTTTTTTTGTTTTTTTCAACACCCAAATATTGCTGGACTGCTTTGGGCCCTTATAGCTAGGTACTTGTTAGAGTCCATTTGTTTCGACTTATCAAAAAAGTAACTTTTATCTCTTTCTTATTTTAGAAGTGTTTTTTATAAAAGTTAAAGTTATTTATATTTTTATAAAAATATTTAGTTTTTGAAAAAAATATTTGGCTTTTGACTTTTGCTTTTCTTAGAAGTTAAAATTTTTAGCTTCCGGAAAAAGTAAATTTTTGGTTTTTTTTTTATGACTTCTGTTTTTTTTAAAAGCTGACATCCAAACGAACTAAAAACGATAAGTGCTTTTTTATTGAAAAAAACAGTTTTTGAAGAAGAAAAAAGCTCATCCAAACGGACCCTTAGACCATTCTCTATAAGTGCTTTAACTACCTCTTCGTGAAGAAGAAGCAGCAAAGAAGATAATTAGTTGGTATTGATTATGGATATGGTTTACCCCACCATTGAATATATTATTTATCTTGCTTTAGACTAACATAGATATTTCATTTTAATCAAAGATCTATACCCTTTTCCCAGGATATTTTATTTACTGATCTTTCTTTGGCGCACAAAACAAATTTTTTTTTTGGTAGAAAAAACAAAAAGAGTAAAAGAAACAAAATCAAAATGACTATGGAATTTGAGACAATTCATCTTTACGTACAAAATTTAATCTCTTCAGGATACATGCACGATGATTTGCCATAGTTTATAAAATTGTAGAGTTTTTAATTCCAGTACAATTAACATTGATAACAGAAACTGAATTAATCATTCATATTAATGTATAAGCTTGATTTGGTCAAAGGAAAATATGTATTAAACTATTAATTATGGTAAATGTTTCTCTTTCTTTTGTTTTAATGTAACAGCAAAGGCATTGCACCTCCTGTCATTGTGGAAGGGTGGTGACCAATTGAGATTTTTCCAAGCGGATTTGAAAGAAGAAGGAAGCTTCGATGAGGCTGTAAAAGGATGTGTTGGTGTGTTCCATGTTGCTACTTCAATGGAATTCAATGTTAGTGAGAAAGAAAACACTGGTAATGCAATGAATTGATGCTTTCATATACCTTACATACATAAGGACTATTTAATTTTGTGGAATGGTAAGTGAGACTGTATTTTCTTTATTGAACTTGCAGAGGCCTTTGTTCAAGCAAATATAATTGAACCCACAATCAAAGGAACCGTAAACCTTCTCAAGTCCTGCTTGAAATCCAATTCAGTGAAAAGGGTTGTTTTCACATCTTCTTTAAGTACCATTACTGCCAAAGAAAGCAATGGGAAATGGAAAACTAGTGTTGACGAATCTTGCCAAATGCAAAATGACAATGTGTGGAATACACAAGCAAGTGGATGGGTAAGTAATGCTTAATTTCCCTAGTCCACTTGAATTTTACACAAAAATTGGTTCCTTGAAGGTTTTTTCCTTGGTGGCAGGTTTATGCACTCTCAAAGCTTCTCACAGAAGAAGCGGCATTTAACTTTGCAAAAAAGAATGGCATTGATCTTGTGTCAATCATAACAAGCACTGTTGCAGGCCCATTCTTCACTGCTAATGTGCCATCAAGTGTTAAAGTTCTACTGTCACCGTTAACAGGTGATTTTATGATCAATCTACATGTTGCTATTCATCCAGAGACGTTGAAAGCTCATGCTTTTATGAGCAAACTACCTTCTTAGTTAACTTGGCCTAATAGGTGAAAACGTGTGCTCCATTAGTTATGTCACCCATTACTCAGTTGACCTTTTCTTTATGTCTATAAATTTATTTGAAATGAAAGGTATATTACTAAATAGATCAGTATTAAAATATATTTGTTTCAATAAGTTCTATTTAATTCCTGAATTGTGGTCTCTCGAATGGCCAAAGTTATATTTATTTCAACAACTTCTATATGATTCCTCAATTTTATGCTTTTCTATGCTACAAATTGCTTGAGTGAATTTAACTATCATGTATGCATGCCCGTTACCAACTAACATGGAACTCATCACACTTAAATATCCCAACAATCTCCCCCTCAAGTATGAAACCTAACAATGGTATTCTCCCTCTCAACCGAGTATATCCCAGGTGCTCAACCTGCCTCTCTCTAGCCAATCATCTGGCTAGCTCGAGCCCAACCCAACTCTAATACCATTGTTAAGTTATGATACACCGACACTTCAAAAAACCTGACGTGTCGCGTCCGACATTTCCCGACACTCAAACACGCGTTGCAGAGACTCAAAAAATAATTCAAATGTTGCGTTGCGTTTTTAGTTTCAACTATTAGATTTGTTGGATTACGATTACCATTTTATTGAGTTTAATATAAATATTTGTGATATCATATGTTTCTTTGCAAAATTGATGGGTATTATAAGTTTAACTTCATTTTTTTTGTTAAAGTATTGAATATTAATATAATATGCACTACATAAATTAAAATGTTGTTTAATATCAAAATGTATCGTGTCAAAATCTAACATTTCTTAGAATTAACGAGTCGGAGTGTCGTGTCATGTCGTGTCCTGTGTCGGTGTCAATGCAACATAGTTGTCAGGTGGGTCCAGGGGAGCCCGTGGCGGGGGACCACCACCAATAGGCTAAGGTTGTACCAATCACATTAAGTGGATCCGACATCATGTTTCAACCCAAAACCTTAAGCCATTAGGTATATAGATTCTCCCACTTATATGGACTTCGCTTAATTCATTACTAACCAATATGAGACTCATCACACTTGAATAATCCAACAAAATTCCCCCCATAATTTTGAACCTGTGCTTCAATGTGCTTCATAAAGTATAAACTATACAGCTATAGACTTGTGTCCTTAAAATGCTTCAATGTGCTTCATAAAGTATAAACTATACAGCTATAGACTTGTGTCCTTAAAATTCTTCGTGAGTTATTATCGTTTGACCATAATGCTCATATATGTAGGTGGAACTGAGTACTTCAAGATATTATCTGCTTTAAATGCACGAATGGGGTCAATTTCTTTAGTTCACATTGAAGATATTTGCAGTGCTCACATATTCCTAATGGAGCATGCTAAAGCAGAAGGTCGATACTTATGCAGTAGTCAAAGTTGTACATTTTCTAACATGGCTACTCTTCTTTCCAAACAGTATTCTGGTTCAAATATGCAAAGGTAATTTCTTCTCTTCTATAGGTAGACTCATTTCCAAATGCTTTTTTTTTTCCATATTGCTGATGTTATTTAAGAGAGTGAGCCTCAAACAGTGGTAAAACAGCTCGTTTGTGACTTAAAGGTCACTTATTTGAGTATAAGAATTGTCTTCACTCTGTTCTTCCTAATCGAGGTTTAAGGGGAACTTTTTTTTTTTTTTTTCTGCAGGAAGGCTCAGAAAAATTATGACAAAGTTCCTTCTGATATTTCATCAAAAAAGCTAAAGGATTTGGGTTTTAGTTACAAGCATGGCCTTGAAGATATAATTTATGAAACAATCATGTGTTGCCTAGATTATGGTTATTTGCCTCCTGTTTAGCCAATAGTCCTTTCAAGAACGCTGTACATGATTCTAAATAATTGAACTTTTTGTATTTCTTTTCACACAAATAAATGAAGTCCACTTTCAAACTACCAACTTCATGAATTTCTGGTATACTTTTTTTTTCTCTTACCATGGATACAAGAATCATAGCCAGCATTAATTATCAATAGAAATAAAGACCAGTTACCAAAAGTTTCAAGCGTGATATATGGAAGTTACACCAAGGTGTTGATTAGTTCAAAAACACCAAGAACTTATAGTTGTGTCTACTCTAAATTAACAAACTTTAATGGTGGTGGGTCTTTTCTTGAGTTTGTGTAGAGTAAATGAAGGGTAGCCAAGAGGCTAATAGAGGCAAACCTGCCGTATAAATGTGACCTAAGTGTACTTTCACAATTAGTTTTTTGAGTCTAGAATGGGGACCAAAGTCATATTCCGTAGACTAAGCTTAGAAATCACTTCAAAATATATCTAAGCTAGTTTTGATAAAGTAGAGTTGGTCAACTAACTTCCTACATAATTTTCATTATGTAGCTTATCTTCTAAGCAGCTGTGAATCGTTCTCACCATTCCTTTGTAGCTGATTTTGTTATTTGAATCCTTCATTTGGTTCAGACATGTTCATTTGGTTTTTCCCTTTTTTTTTTCTTAAAGCCAACTCTGGTTTTGCTAATTCATCCTGAGTATGCAACTTGGTCAGGTTTGAAATGCGAGTCATGATTGCAGACTTCTCAGTTGTTAACTTAGAAGTTAGGAATCATTGCAAACATTGCTATGCAAATATGATCCTAAACATAGAGCTGAGAAAAAATGGTTAAGAGCTAGGTATAGGTAAGGGTAAACACAAGGAGAACGGTTCAGTTATAGTTATATCAGATTATAAGCCATTTTTAGGAAGTTTTTAGCAATTGGCATCTTTGACATCTTAACCTTTCACTGTTTTTTCCGTTGTCTTTATTGCATAGCTTTCACCAACTGGCGAAGTCTAGCATCAAACATTAAAGAGGGAAGTCCCAAATGGTTCATAAAACTATCAGAACTAAGAAGATTAGCCTAAAAAGCTTCCTATGTGTATGTAATTTTTTCAGCCTAATTGCAAGTCAACCGCACCATGCCACCAAGCTCCTTATACAAGTTCATCTTTGCCAAACTACTTGACTTCAAAATTTGAAATATCCAAATGGAGTTCATTCAGTGACCACCATTCCCAAACCAGGGAAGTGTAATGACAGTTAGTAAACATTTATGAGATGCATGTGCCATGAGAAATTGAAAGCTGTACAGATGTTACAGTCATGAAGTGGCATTACCAACCCCTGCCCAGTTACACGCTCTTAGGAGTTATGGCCCTGAAAAGTGACCAATAGAATTACCTTATTCACACTCATATTGCTGCATGACAGTGTATCTAATATATATATATATATATATATATATATATATATATATATAGAGAGAGAGAGAGAGAGAGAGAGAGAATGTGACTAGGGTCCTGACCTTATCTTAAACGGTTGCTGTTCAGATCAGGATGATCCAATAAACTCCAAGGAAGAATAACTGAAAATTAAATATTAACCAAACATTTACAGCACAAAGGGAAGAAGAGACAAGGCATATATAGGCCTCATGAATATCTCACTTCTGAATACCAATCCTTCCTTATGTTTGTCTTAAGTTTGGAATCACTTCTGTCCGAACTTCCATTACCATCCCAGCAGGGTAACATATCTGTAAAGAACCAATTCAACCTGAAAGTTTAAGTTGTCATGTGAGTATCTCTTTAATGGTTTATATTATACTCTAACACGTCCTCACACAAAAGAGCTTATTGGACTTGAAAGGTGAATAATACATCAGACCAGTCTACTTAAGCCCAATCTACTTGTACTAAGAAATTTCACACAAAAAATGAAGGGCAGTTAGGATGGAACCCGAGACACAGAGACAATACCATAAAAAGAACCAATTCAACCTAAAAATTTTATATTATAACAATATCTATTTGGATAATATATTAAATACAAAATGTGACATCTTGCCATATATGCACTAGGTAGGAGCTGTCGTAGTTTGGAGAAATGTACATGTCTAGTTAACAGATGAGAGAAAGGAGGAGGTCGACTACGTTGCCAGATTTCACACTATAATATATTCATTTCAAAATATTTGTCATTTAAACTTTTACACAATTAAGGAAAGTCATTAAATATCATTAATGTGTTCTTCACGTTTTAAAATAAAAGAAAATTTCTTCTCCTATTATTCTAAAAAAAATAAAAATACTAATAACGCACTCTTAACACATTCTTTTCTCCGTAGTCTTTATTACTGAATGAAATTTAGATGGATCTCACTAAATAATTTATTGAATGAGACCCACAAAAATATCTAGCTAGCATTTTCTTAGCCAACTAAGAAGTAGCTGATTATAGTACAACCTACCAATTTTCATTACTGGACCACTTCTATTCAGTCAATTTAGACTTAGTTATTAAATGAGTACTTATGGAATCTAATCTCCGATTACATTAAATTAAAACAAATAATTTTCGCGCTTAGTTCTAGGCTGTGCCACTTAATAAAATGAACATGCAACTAAGATTCTTCCATCTTTCAATTTGAAAATTCTATTTTAGTCAGCTTAGTTGGTTATTGCCATTTCAATTACTCTTTTTTAAGACATTGTATTAATATCACACATCAAGTTAGAACCTGCATTCTAGTGGAAATGTTGAAGAGATAATTATTTTAATGCCATTAACTTACAAGCGTTGCATATTTATTTCTGGTTGTGGCGTGCTTCAAATAGCCTGGTGCAGATGTAAAATATTTCAGTTCCATTAAAAAAAAAATACAAATGTATGAATAGGAGGTTCATACAATAAACATGAAGAAGCATGATTGTCTATGGAGAAAAGAATCAAAAACCTTCAAAAGATGAAGGGCAAAGAACCTCCATGGAAAGACCAAAATAGGGGGATCCATAAAGCTACACATTATGTAAGGCATTTTGACTTTGATCCTTTTGGTTCATGGTTTGCAAATTACCACAAAGCAAGGAAGAAGAGCTCTAGGATTAAGCAAATAAAGCTCCTCAATATTTGAATAAAGACCTACTTTCCCAGCCAATGAGTCAAATCCTGTTTGAGCTGCCATTTCCTGAATGTTCTCCAATGGCTTATGAACCCTTCCAGCAATTACTCTGCAGACTATCAATGCTTTTCTCAATGATGGATCATCACCAACAATTTCTATAGACTCAAAAGCTCTACCACTTGTTGATGTTGTGAATACACCTATGCCACCCTTGAGCTCCTTCTTGGTGGAAAAACCATTTCTGATAATTCTACAAACACAACATTTTTCAGATAGGCAAAGACTAGATGAGCCATTGAGACCAAGAGAGCATACAACAGTGGTTCCATAGAACCTCAAAAGCTCATTCCCATCAGCCAAACACCTAGGATGCTTCTTCTGAAGCTTGCTGGCTTTGATTTTCACCATCTCCCTATGCTCTTCGAATCTAGCCAGAGTCCTTTGCATGTTGTGAACCTTCAAAACTCTCTCAATTCGACCACAGTGGTTTTCAGACTTTAACCAGCTTGTCCTGCATATGATCTCCACTATTTTCCTTGATGAATCCCCTTCCACAAGCTCAGTAACTGTCAAGAGAAAATTTGCTCTTAAATTTAAAATATGTCAAAACAATACAAAAGTAGCAACAAACTTGAAGACACTAACACAATCAATTTTGAATTGTGAGTACTTTCAACATTTCAGGGTAATGTGGGCTGGGGAGAGAGAGAGAAAGATACTGTTTCTCCTAGATATTTTGAAGGCATAGATTTTGGAGAGTTCTAAGTTAAAAAGGTAATGAAAAAAGGAAAATCAGTTTAGTTGTCCCAAACTGAAAAAGTATGTTAATTTATAAGATTCCTCACCTCAACATAAAAGTGTTTGTATATCTAATTTAGATGTGGCCAGAAAGTTTGTGGACAGAAGAATGTTTGGATAAACTGCTGTGAGGATTAGATAACAAATGAAAGAAAAACAAACAGCCAAGGCCACAGAAGCCAACCATGGAAACCAGATAAGCTTAAAATTGACATCTGAAGAAAGAATAAAAAAATGTTACCAGCATGCTTGGACTGATGATGAGCTTCAGCAGCTTCCCATTTGCTAAATTGTTCTCCACATTTGTGACAAGTCATAGTTGAAGACCCATTAGAATCTGTCTCAAGAGACAACCTATTGCTTGAATGAATTCCAACACCATGAAAACCAGACCCTTCTTTATCTGATAAAAGGAAAGGAGATCTCCTTGGAGGAGTGGATGAAGTCCTAAAAGAGGGGTTAAAGTAGTGCATTGTAGGGTGCCCTCCAGGGCCCGGAGTCCCAGGCCTCAAAGTACCCACAAAGGTTGAACCGCCATTACTGTTACCACCACCACCACTGCCAACCCCTTCTTGGAATCCTCCATATCCAGTGATTTTCAGCTCACACCTTGAGTTACTCAAAATCACTTCATGAGTTATAGGGTTGAGGAACTCACTGCTCCCTATGGATCTTGGACTGCAACTTGGTGGCTTATCAATATGCCTTTTGCTTCCATGGATGACATCTTTGAGATTTGCTATGGACCTTGAACAACCTGACCTTCCTCCTCTTTTGGTCAAGATTGTGCTTAAATGCTTCCTTGATTTTGGATCATGAACATCAGAAGGCTCAGATTTGCAGTGTAGAGACCTCTTCAGATTGAACCACACTGTTGGCATGTTATCTTTAATGTTTCCCTTTTGTCTTTTTTTGCTTTTTCCTCCTTTGTAGTTACACTTCAACTAGACTCCAAAACTTCTGAGCTCTTCAATTTAACTCTCTTACAATGCTCATTCTCAAAATGCTCCATGTTTCTCTTCCTTTTCCTATGCAAAAGCTGATATAATGAGTGAATGAAAAAAAAAAGAAAAAAAAAAAGAAAAGATTACAACTTCAGTTACTTTCTGCTTTAAGCATTTAAGCAAGCAACCCCTTTTTGTTTCCTGAAAATTCCTTCCACTTTCCAGGAAAGAACTCAACCATGCATCAAAGGGATAACCAAATTGCTATCAAGAGGAGCAAAATTCAAGAGATTCTACCAAACTATCAAACACCCTGAAAATTCTCAAACACAGGTGTCACCATGAAGAGCATTCTGCAAGGACACATCACACACCTGCTTCATTACACAAGAATGAGTTTGGCAATTTCCATAGAATGGTGTACAGGACCCCATCAAAAGCAAGTGAGACAAAAAGGACTCAAATCCATTGAATGGTAGAACATGGATGACCCTATGTTAAAACACGGGTGTTTGGAAGGAAAAGAATCTTTGGCTCTTAGATTTGAGATTTGGGAACATGACACTTACTTAGACAAACCATGTATTGTGGCTCTATTAAATAGGAGTTACTGTTTCTGAAGCTGTACTTAATATTATTATTATTTACATATAGAAATATACTTACATTAATTATGAAGATTTGACCACAATTCAAATTATTTAAAACAAGTATATTAAAATGGAGATATTGGTTGTATAAATATTATAATATTATTAAAACAATTCAAATACTTCGTAACTGACACAGAAGTACAGAACATTAGGGATTGTTTGGTATAGAGATTTTTGGAACAGTGATCAAAATGTCACTGTTCATGAACTTTTTTACCTAAATGTCACGCGAATAGTCTTATTTCTCAATCTGTCACGGGAGCGAATTCGCTATCCGGTGTAGCGAACTCGGTTTGCTGACGTGTCACGTTTCTAGTGGACACCAAATTTGCTACACGGGATAGCGAATTTGGTTTTAACCAAGTTCGCTACCCTATGTAGTTCAAATCTTTCTTTTTTTAATTTGGTACTTGTTATCTATTAGAATTGTGACACGTCAGCAAACCGAGTTCGCTACACCGGGTAACGAACTTGCTCCCGTGCCAGATTGGGAAATAAGACTGTTCGCGTGACATTTAAGTAAAAAGATTGGTGAACAGTGACACTTTAGTCATTGTTCGGAGATTTTTTTAGAAATTCTGACAAAGTAAGGTTGAATAAATTTTTTTCCAGGCATATAGGATGAGGAAACTAAAAATATTTTCTGAAAAAAAAAATCTCATCATTTCAGTTATAACAATAGAATTCCAAATGAAAATAATACATGATACTTTTATTTTTCCAGAAAATCAATATAATTAATCTATCATTTCCGAAAAAAATTGGATCTACCAAATACTTTAAGAAAATTATTTCCTCTATTAAACGCCCAATTCAAAATCACGAACTAGAGAGGAAACAATAAGGCAACTATATTCTATTCAACAAATTCAAACACAATAAATGACATCTACCTTTTCAAATATTTAAAAACAAATACATTTGCTACGAAGTCAAAAACACAAAATGGGTTCAATTAATGTACGAATTAGTTAAGTGATTATTTTTAGAACAAATTAAGTGATTCTTTTAATTTTTTTATGCTGTCCCACATGAATGCATTCCATTTACTTTTATTTTATGGGGAAGGAGTGTAACCTAAAATAATGCCACACGCAATTTAAGTTTAGGAGGGAGGGAGGACCACACGAGGGTACATTTTACTTGGCCCAACTTTGAAAAATCTCTAAAGCATGGAAGTAACAAGGACGGCCCAATAAATAAATAATAAATAATGAATTTAAGAGTGGGCAGAATATAAAATTTTGTCCCCTCCCAATACTAGAGTCCTTACAAACATGGGCACATACCATAAACCCTCTAAATAATATTTGATATCAACCTAATACAAAACTTCGTTAAAATGTTCTAGCCAGTGATAATTAATGTCTCAATTAAGATTTGGACCATGACGCCTGACAAAAAGACACTCTGATTAATATGAACCATGACATTGTGTCAGTGAACTTATCGTAATGATTGACGACATGCCTGCAATTTCCTTCTCTCACGTCTGCAGCTTTTACATGAAAAGTGCTTTACATCTCAATCACTTTTTCACCCATATGAAGGAGCAATCCTTAGGCATCATCATACAACAACTTTAAGCAGATTTAGTCAAGTGGAGAAAAAAAAAAAAGAATATTTATTGAAAAAAACATTTACTCTGCTTGAAAAAGAAAAGACAAGTGTCAATTTCTTAGAGAGATATTAGTCCATATGAAGTATTGTAACTGTAACATGTCGCACTTTATTATTATTTTTTTAAAAAGAGAGATGATAGGAGGACCAGCACCTCTCTCTCAAATGATGTGATATATGCGTCATCCTCAGCATAGTAATTAATTTATGATTAAATATAATTGAATTATAATTAAGTTGTTGGAATTTTTAATTTCTCTAAACCTTTCGGTGATAACTATCACCTACAAGCCAAGCTCCATCATACCAAGCTCGAGCATACTTGTCTCCATTGCAGCGGAATAACTTTGATCTTGTCTCTTGGGATTTGTAGTCTTCCTCAATCAAATCACTCTAAAACCAAATTCCTTAGTGTGTCGTCTCTCTCTTGATGGGGAAGAGAAACTAGGGTTGTTAATTTGACGTCTTGGGGATCATAACCCTTATAGTGTTTTTATCTTTATTGTTGGGCCAATAAACCCCCATTATACCTAGTTGGCCCAACACCGGTATCCACTCATTCAGCCCATACTCACTTAGGAATCTATTTGGGAATATTTAACTGATCACTTTAATTTACCCAATATATATAAATAGCACAATATAAATATTAATATAATATGTAACCCACAATGATTGTTAGAAAATATAATTTCCTAACAATCTCCCACTTGGGTCACATATTAACTTGAGATAATTATATCATATATCTTTAGTGCGCAACTGTATGCTATTTTTCTTTAGATTCCTCCTTAGATACAATCTGGTCCACCTCCTATATCAATATGAGATCATGGCGGCTTTTGTCACTTTCAAGCGTAACTAAACCTTCCATGGTCATCGCACCAATATATTCAATGACATAGATCAAGTATGGATGAGTGGCATGGAAATTACATGCAATGTGATCTTACCATGCCTATTTCTAACTGGTCCTACTTTAATCTTTATGAGATCAATCCTAAATTTTCTGCATACACAAAGCAGAAACACAAGCACAAAATATAATACATTCAGGGGGAATATAACATTGAATTCTTTATTCTGCAGAAAACAAACATAAGAATATTTCATTTATTTATTTACATAGAACACCAACATAAAGAACTCCCACTAAACCGTAGTGTCATCGAACAAAACAACACCCATATGAGCAGTATGCTCGTGAAAGACCTTAGGCACTAAGCCTTTAGTGAGCGGATCCCCGAGCATGGAGTTTGTCCCTATGTGTTCTATGGAAATCTGACCACTCTGAACTCTTTCTTTAACAACCAGAAACTTTATATCGATGTGCTTCGATTTTGAAGAGCTTCTGTTGTTGTTGAAGTACAACACTGCTGACCTATTGTCACAATAAATCTTCAGTGGCCTTTCAACACCACTTATTATATGCAGCCCTGTGACAAAGTTTCGCAGCCATACCCCATGGTTGGATGACTTAAAACAAGCTACAAATTCAACGGCCATAGTAGAGGAAGCTACGACTGCCTGTTTAACACTCTTCCAAGAAATGGCTCATCCAGCCAACATGTAGACATAACCTGACGTGGATCTTTTACTATCTTGGCATCCAGCAAAATCAGAGTCAGTATATCCGACGATCTCTAATTCATCTGACCTCCAATATGTAAGCATATAATCTTTTGTTCTCTTTAAATACCGCATAACCCTCTTGGCTGCTTTCCAATGATCCATTCCTGGATTGCTCAAGTATCTTCCTAACACTCCCACTATAAATGCTATATCAGGGCGAGTACAAACCTGAGCATACATAAGGCTTCCTACTGCCGAAGCATAAGGTACCTTTGTCATTTCTATCATCTCAAGCTTACCTTTAGGGCATTGGGCGAGACTAAACTTGTCTCCCCTAGATATAGGCGTATCTCCTGACGAACAATCCTTCATGCCAAATCTATCCAAAATCTTTTCAATGTAGGCCTTTTGTGATAACCGTAGGATACCTTGAGCACGATCTCGAAGTATCTGTATTCCTAAGACAAAAGATGCATCACCAAGGTCCTTCATCTCAAAAAATTTAGTGAGAAGTTTCTTGGTTTCATGCAGTAAGCCTATATCGCTACTGGCAAGTAAGATATTATCAACATATAGTATCAGGAATATGAATTTACTCCCACTGAACTTGTGATACTCATAATCTTCCACTAAGTTCACCTCAAAGTCATAGGAGATAATAACCTGATGGAATTTGTGGTACCATTTACGAGAAGCTTGCTTAAGGCCATAGATGGACTTTTTCAATTTGCAAACCATAGACTTTGAATCTCTCAATACAAAGTTTTCTGGTTGCACCATATAAATTGTCTCATCAATGTTACCATTGAGAAACGTTGTCTTTACGTCCATCTGATGTAGCTCCAAATCCAAATGAGTCACAAGCGCCATTATTGTCCTAAAAGAGTCCTTCGTAGAAACCGGAGAAAAAGTCTCTTTATAGTCTATGCCTTCTTTCTGAGTGAAACCTCTAGCAACTAGACGTGCCTTATATCTTTCGATGTTGCCATTTGAATCCCTTTTGGTTTTAAATATCCATTTACAACCAATGGGTTTCGCACCTTTAGGCAACTCAATAAGATTCCAAACGTCGTTGTCTTTCATAGATTACATCTCATCTTTCATGGCATCAACCCATTTATGAGCATTAGAGCTTTCTAAGACTTG